GGTTTCAAATTCAAAGAATTAACAAAAAAAGGAAAGGGTGAGAAAAAAAACCAAAAAAAAAAAAAAAAAAAAAAAAAACCAACAACCCCGAAGCGAATGCACAAGTGTCACACGTGTAATCAGACTGAGGTGAGGAAATGCATACAGTGAACTCAGGATGACCCAACAAAAAGACTCGAGCGCTTGCCAAGAAGTTCTGCTCTCCCCCAGATGTGTCCGTGTGGGGGTGGGCTGAACTCTCAACGCCTGGCTCAGGGGGACGGTGGGGAGCGAGAGACGGGAACGAGGAGGAGAAACAGAAGATGTAGAGAGAGAGACAGAGAGGGGAGTAATGGAAGGACAGAGAGGGGAGAAAAACAACAACAAAGCTGACCTCACCAGCAAAAACTTCTTGTTTTTTGGAGTTTTTTTTCCTCATTCGGAGCTTCTTGCCCCTTAAAAGGCACAGACCGCGTCTAGATGGAGACGCCGCATCACACCTTGACTCATGCTGCACACATGAACAGATGTCAGTGACACCTGACACGCCAGGGTCTTCTCACACTCTCACACGCACGCACGCATGCACACACACAAACGCCGTTCCAGTCTGCAACGTTAGGCTCGGAGCTGGAGTTTGACAGAGCCTTTGTTATGAAAAGTATGGGGCCTCCTCAGAGTGCCGCTCTGTGTGTGTGCGCGTGTGTGTGTGTGTGTGTGCACACTAGGGGAGTTGAGGGGATGCAGCAGAGGAGGAAGTCCAAGAGAAATTGCGGTTTATCCATTTCATAATGGACGAGAGAAGGCTTTCTTACTTCACTCTAATGACATTTTCATGGGATATTTCCATCTGACAGCAAAGCAGAATTTAGTAATTTCTGTATTACTGACTGGCCGAATTTTATAAACAAGAACAGGCAGCTGAACTGATCTGAAGCATCCATTAATCAAGGTCCCTAAAATGATTTATCTTAAATTCTCAAAGAAATATTAACTTTGCAGATTTTTAGGTCCTTCATATTCATTCAAAAAGGCAAAAATATTAAGAACTGGAATAGGAAACCTGACAAAAAACACAAACAGGAAGGGAGGACAAAATTAAGGGAAATGGGAGGAAAGGTAAAGGAAAGGGAAGAAAGAGCAAAGGAAGGAAGGACAGTTTGGAAACCACTGCTTTAGACAACGGGATGTGAAAAGTCTGGGAATAAGATTTTTTTTTTTTTTTCAATGCTTACTTTCTTAATTCTTTAAAGAAATCACCAACAGGTGTTTTGTTTTTTTTTTCCTAAACTTTGTCTTGATGTTTGGTGTGAAACCTATAAAGGTCAGGGACTGATGTTTTCATCCCTTCACTGTCTGACAGATTCAAATACCACCGCTTAGTTAGAGAAGGACGCAGCTGTGATGAGGTGTTAAAGAATATATGTTTGTATTCATATCTTCAGATCTTCCTCCAGACTACTGCATGCTGCTAGAATAAGAAACTGGTGTCAGCTCGGTTGTGTGCAACACCTCTTGGCTTTTGGTTAACACCGTTTCACTGCTCAAGAAACCAAACCAGAACCAGACCGCTGCATCAAGACAGATCGGCTGTAGTCCAAAAGGAAGTTTCCCTCCGATGGTCGTCATCCAGACCCTTCATGGTTTTGACTGTTGCGGCATGAAATTACAGATTTTCCTGCATTTTCTGTCTTTAAAGGTTCGGCCAAAGTTACACTTTTTTTTTAAAGCTTTATTTTTGCCATAACATGATCTTGCAAACTTCCCCAAAAAAATTAATAAAGATTTTAACTTATATTTTACATGCAAATAGCATTTCTAAGTACCTTCTTGAAATGGCAGTCTTAATACAAATCAAACCCTGCCCTGAAAAATTTAATATTGGTCATTCCAGTTAACATGAACTGAATGCACATGAGAAGCAAATCAAACAGAACACTAAAAAAAAAAAGTCAATGATTGGTCAAAAAAGTACAAAATAAGGTTAAAAGGCTAAAATGCTAAGATTTTTCTGTAAATCTTAATTCTGTAAGATTTACAGAAAAGGTGCGATGACTGGTAAAGATTGAAAGTCCGCAGAAAATTTGCGAATGATAAAAAGTTGTGATCGCAACTTCATGGAGGGAACAGCAACAGTCTCTAGTTATATATATATATATATATATATATATATATATATATATATAAACTAAATCAGATCAAATCTGGTGTTTCTAGGATGAACTGGCTGATCGGCCGCCTCTCACTCAGAGCATCTCCTTTAGCGCAAAAGACGGAAGGAGAAGTGAGACAGTGACCAGCTCACAAACCAACTTCCTGTGGAAAACTAGTGTGTAGACAAACATAAAAAAAAACAGACATGTTCCTGAAATTTTGCATGCAAAATTAAAAACATGCATCCAGCTTTTTAAGGAAATTAAGCACAAATTGTTGATAAAGAACCCTTCCTATCCCCCCCCAGAAAGTATGAATCAAGTTTGTCAGAGCAGAGCAAAGCGAAAACACAGAAAGTATCACAAATAATCTGATGCAATAGCAGAATGACGGGAAGGAGAGCTGTAATTTTTTTGTGCTTAAAGGAAATTTGCATGTTTATTCTGAGAGAAGAAACTCCAGCAGAGGCAGAAGAGGACAGAGGGAAGGGAAACAGAGAAAAGGAGAACAGATAAAACTAATAAAAAGGGGAAATGTACAAGAGGTGAGACCACCAAAAAAAAAAGTGTCAAACACATACCAGTAAAAAAAACAAAACAAAAAAAACAGAAGGACTGTGGTGTGCGTGTGTGTGTGTCAGCAAAGGTAAGTTAAATGAGTATTGAGATGAAGAGGAGCAGACAAGGCATCTGGCTTTTCATCCGCAACAGCAGCTAAAGCAGAGAGGGACTGTCCCTGTCCCTCACACACACACACGCACACACACAGATGTAGAGAGTGGGCACCTTTTTACAGTCATGCACAGTGAAAAAGCTCAACTAGCTTCAGAAGCCCCGCTGATTGAACCTCCCAAACCTTAACGGATTTTGAAACAAAACACTGTGCTGAGCAACAAGGGAAAACATTTTTAACATTTAACATTTTCAACACCAACTGATGCCAAAAGCAGTAGAGATTTTTCCTACAACAGTTTATTTGTCTATCGGGTTGTGACTGAGCTCAAGTACGGCGCAATTAGTGCTGCAGCTATCCGATATATTAGCAATCAATACTGTATTGAATAATCTCTTGATTAATTTGAGTGATTAATGTTGCGCAACTGGGGTGCATTTCCTAGAAAAATGGAGGTTGAGCTGCTAAACGGAGTTTTAAACATGCAACGTGCAACTCAAAGATTCAAACCCGCTTGTCCATCATCCCTCTCCTGCGGTTTAAATCCTGTCCATAAAACGCCCAAGTAATGACCAGAGTTAAAATGTGTATAATGATGTGAAATACTCAACTATAACTACACAAAAAAAAAAAAAAAGGTTTTGACATGTTTTTGCTGTGACAGCTGGGCGATTCGTCAGGCAATCCACACCAACCTAGCTGCACAACTTCCACAGATCCCCCTTCACACACACACACACCTACAGATTCAAACCTGCAACCTCCACCTCTCTGTGGACTAACTTCAGACCCTGAAAGGGATGATGCACTCTCTCTCAGGTCAGGGCTGATGCCAAACAGAAAGTCATCCAGCCCCGTTTAAAAGTGGAAAATTGATGTAGCGAAACCTTTAGAAATGGGGAATTGAGAAGTAAAAAAAACCCAAAGAGTAGAACATCACGATGCACAGTGGTACAACCACAAGCTGCATTTAAAGCGGACCGTTTTAGAGGGAGAGAGAGAGAGAGAGAGAGAGAGAGAGAGAGAGAGCTCCACGTCTGTCATATTTTGGGCCATCAAAAAACCATCACATGAACCCAAGGGCCACTTGCAAGCCAAGGAACTGGCAGCACATGAATAAAGAGGGGGACACATCAAAAGGTGCTGGGCCCCTTTTTTTTTTTTTCCCTCAAAACCCAAAGCGCGGCTTTTCCAGGCAACGTGCAACCCCTCAATTTCCTCGCCGAGAGCCATGTGCGAAGGCCGAGCACATGTGCGCACGCAAAACCCAATAACCTGTTCCAAATAACAAAGATGACAAGCAAAAAAGGCGAAACACATGCAAGCGCTTTGCAGCGAGCCGCAGCATCCGGCAACATGGAGCGCTGAATGACTCGCAGCGAACTGAAGGGCAAACGAAACGCTCCGAAAACCTGCAGCGGCGTCGTGTTCGGCGCGTGGCGTTTTCAGAGCCGAAGACTGAGGAAGGAGGAGAAGTCCCGCCTCTCGGGGGTTGAACGTCCACAAACAAACTGTGAGGAAGAAGCTCGTTTCCACACAGTCTTGTGGACAGGAAAGTCTCAGCGGAGATCAGACCCGTCATAATCGATGGCGGCGGAGCAACTGTGATGCAATACAATAGGGAACGACGGATGGACTGAGGATGGCTGATGGCAAAAGATGCTGCGAAGGCGATCCGCCCGGAAACGCAGAAATGCACAGCAGTCATTACCGACATCACCAGGAAAAACATCAACACCCCTTACATGGATTTTACTGGAAATGTATTTCATTGGGGAAAAAAATGGAGAAACTTTCACAAACACATTCTGAAAGGAAGAAGCATCTGTTTTTATTCAGTCATCTTTAGTTTTTTTTGGAGAAGTTGAACCTCCACTTCAGCCAAAAGTCTTTTCCAGCTTTTTATAAAAAAAAAACAAAAACAAAAAAAAAACCTCTTTCCCGTCTCTACTGAGAAAAAAATAAACAAAAAAAAATCCCCACAGCATAATGGTGTCATCACTGTGTGTTCCCGTGGAGACACTCCGTGATTCAGGGTGATGTCTGGTGTCCATTTAAAAATAACTGAATTATTTGTTTATTTGCATCTTTTAATGTATTTCTAATATCGTATAAAAAGGCTTAAGTAGTTAAATGAAGAGTCTGCGGAATGTGCCAATTTTTAATTCAAATAATTTTTGTAGCCGATGGATCAATCAGAATAACCAATTAATCGCCGGAGTAATCGATTAATCATCAGAAAAATCGATTGTCTGTGTAACTGATTAATTGTCAGAATTTCAGATTAATCGATTACTAAAATAACTGGCAGCTGCAGTCCAAGCTTGTGTTCATCTACCACATAAAACCTCAACAGAATACTTTGAAGTTTGTGGTTGCAACGTGTCAAAATGGTGAAGAACTTTAAGCGTTTGGAGGCGGCACAGCTTTTCTATCTTTAGAGATGAAATTCTGACTACACGCAAGTCACCAAAGACTTCAGTTTCCAAGCGGACGGACGGACATATCAAAAGACGAGAAATTAACGCGCGTTACGTACCGCAAGGGACAAAACAAAATTGGCAAAACATTTCTCACCTTGTTAGGCGCTGTGGCTGAGGGCGCTCCCCAAACTTCCTGCAGAGAGACAAAGTGAGAAAGAAAAAAAACACATAAGTGGGTCAGTTATTAACCACGAGCAAACAAACAAATGGCAAACACGGCGATGCTAAACGGCGCGTCTTTCCACGCACACAAAAATCCACCCACTCTCTGACCCTGATGGAGCGCATTTCTGCAGAAGCAAGCGGGTCAAAGCGAGCGGAGGGTGGAGAGGTTGAATAGAAAAAAGTCAAGAAGATACTGTTATAAAAACGTGCATGAAGCTCAGCCACATGCCGCAGATGGTTTAAGATTAGATTAACCTCTTTCGTGTTGATCAGAAGATGCATCCACAAACTTAGCTTGGTTATCTGCACATCTAAACGGCCCCATGGCGGTGGCCTGGATGTTTGACGACCCTGTTCAGCGACTTGTTGGTGAGCAAGTCGAGCAGCAGCCTTCTGGCTTTTTGGAAACATCCAGAAATGTCTCACTTGATGAATTTATGACAGGGAAACTAGTTTAAAGGTTCACACATTTCACAAGCACTGAGTCAACCTTAAGCATTTTGTAAACTAGACACCACAGGATGTGATGGGGCCCACAGACATAAGAGGAACTGGATGCGTTTCATCACCACGGATTACTGAAAGATGCCAAACAGGCGTAAATCTCACCTAACAGGATGAGGGATTCAACTCTTCTGATGAAATCGACTCAACGGGGCCCAAGTCAGGTAACGTTTCTGAGTCGAGATGAACTTTAGAAGACAGAAACTATTGATTTACGCGCTTTAGAAATACACCAATGGTCAAAGCAAAGTGAAAATCAAGAAATCTGGTGCTTATCTTCAGTACACGTATAAATCTGAAGTGCGTCTCTGGAGTACAGTTACTCCACTTTGGGGAAAAAAAAAAAAGTCAAAACTCTGAGTTTTAGCTTCAATCTGAGCAGAGCTGATCTGAGCCACTTCTACACTAGAATCACATGAGAAACAAAGTCTGACGGCCCAACTGAATATGTTTTTGACCCATTAGGCGTCCAAAAAACCTGAAATATCTGAGCTCCACCCGTAGGTGGTGATAAAGTCGACACAAACAACATTAAAGTTTTAAAACCAGACGGCTAAAGCAGCGCTGGACAAAATTTTTTTCCCTAAAATCACTGCTTGCGTTTCCTTTGACTTGGTTTACCGTTTCCTCTCAGTCGTTAACGTCTTCAGTTCACATCTGACATGTTAAAGGAAAAGCCAATCAGGATGAAGGACGACCGATGTTGAGAAACCAGCTAAAACAGATCAGGTGTTGATCTGCGCCAAACAACAAGCAGCATGTCTGCTCAACAGCTGACAGCAAAAAGCCTGACTAAATATCGGCTTGCTAGAGTGGCGTTATTCTAGGAAGAATGACGAATGGGTAAGTTTTTGCAGTTAGCACTGAAGAGTCTTCCCTGACGGTACGGGGACGTTCCAAGATGACAACGCCAGAATTCATGAGGCTCAAACTGAGAGAGTCTGGACCTTCAACCCGTTCAGAATCTGTGGGGTTAACACCAGATGAAAATAAACCT